CTTGTCTTATCCTTTATTAAGAAAATAGAAGTCATTACATTCAAATGCCCTCATTTTCCCATCACCGAACTTACAATTCTACCTGTCTCTCCAGACTCACTATCCTTTTCACCCTCTATTATGGCAAGTGTCAGAAGTTCATCCCTCCTCTCAGCCTCTAGAATTTAAATCTTACCTAATTAAGGGGTTTTCTCCTTGGATTATTCCCTCTTAAGCATCTCTTCTAAGGATCCATTCTTATCAATGTATAAAAAACAGTTCTTTATCTGTCTCCCTTTGTGTATGTGGTACTGGGGACAGAACTCAGGGACTGGTGCTTGCTAGGCAAGTGCCCTACCACTGAGCTACATCCAGCCCTCCCATATTTTAAAAAGCAGACACAAACCAGCTCCTCATCTCTTCCAGCTACTGCCTTCTCTGTTCTTCCGCACTGTGCAGTTTCTTAAAAGATGTCTATGTCATCTCCATCTTCTTCCTAAGACATTCAGGATATTCAAGAGTGCTTGCTATCTTGATGGAATTGTAAGAAAGAAGAGGTGATAAGGAAGGTTATGTTTGACATTTAAGGAAAAGAGGAATAGTAATAGATGCACTGAGGGAAGAGTTTTCAATGAAATAAGGTTATAAAAGATACATGTTAGCCATTAACTGGAAAACATGTAATAATATATTCATATCCTATTATTCATTAAGACCTTGAATTTGGGTTTTATGCAGTCCTGAGTTTTATGAAGACCTCAGCTCTTCCCTTTGCCAACTCTCTTGAAAATATAAATCTCTTTGAGCTTAAAATGAGAGTATCACTTTCTCATGGGAGTATTAAAAATTAAATGAAATGCTACATGTAAAACCTTTAGCTTATGCCTGTCCCATGATAAATTCTCAAATAATGACCATTTTAACATCATTTTTATTACCATTATTATTCCCATAAGAATGTGAAATAGTCCTATGGGTGATTCTTAAAAAGTAGTCAGCACCCAGAGAAAAGCATTTCAAAAAAGAAGAAAAGCTCTAAATCCTGACCTAAAGCAGAGGCCAGAAGCTCTCTGAGAAGCCACCAGCAGACTCTTAAGCAGCACAGGAGTCTGGGAGTGAAGACATGAACTAGATGAGCACAGCCACACACTCACAAGAAGGATTGTT